CACGATTCTGCCTTCTTTGCACGTCGGAAAATCGAAGGCGCGTGATGTACCCTTTCCAGTTCAGAAGCTTGAAAACGTCTTCCAATGCAGCGGTGAAGAATTTCAAGGATAAAACGTCACCCTGTCTTACACTTCTCTGCAGTTGAATAGGTTTCGTACACAGATCAGCCATCGTAGCCTTACTGTACAAACACCTCGGGCATTCGGCACTACGATATACCGACAGCCAACTTGGCACCGCTGACTGCAGCACCGCCCAAATTTCGACGGAATCAAAGACTTTCTTATAGTCTTATATCTTTCTTTCTTATATTATAGTTTCCTATAGTATAGTATAGTATAGTAGCAAATTGTAGGTTCTCCTCGGTCTTCTGAACAATTTTCCAAAGGGTATGAATGTGGTCAATGGTGATAAATCATTTTTGGAAACCGGCTCGAGACGATTCGTAATGACCCTCGAAGAGAGTACAGTAGTCCTTTAAGAGGATGTTGTCGCCTTTCTTGAAGAACAAGACCACCGCACTTTTGCTCCACGCCTCCGGTGTAATGCCACCATGGAGGGCAGAATTAAAGAGCTTCTGAAGGACTTCAAGTACCGGTTTTCCACCTGCTTTGGACTTCCCTTTTTTAAGGTGCTGGAGAGCCATTCTAATCTCGCTCAGACTGACGTCCGGGATATCATCGGAATAGTGTCGGTGTTCACGCACCTAGTTGTTCAGACTAAGGTCTACCATACAGGGGCCCATACAGCTGTTAGGTTCGACGGACAACTAAGTGTGGGGCTCAAAATGCCTTATGGAAAATATCCTATCATACTACACAATAGGGAGAAGGCTAGGTAAATAAATAGTACGTACCTATTCAGAGGCGAAGAAGGCTTACAGGGCTCAAACACAGTCGGAAAAGACTTGTTCTTAGATCGTTACTCACACTTGCATAATGACTCCATCGATGATGTGTTCAGCTAGCCCGTAGAACATCTGAATCTCAATCAAAATCTCACGTGTCCCTGAAACAATGCTACCATACTCGGTCTTCGAACTTTTCTGGCAAACAAATCTCTAGCAAAGACTTTGGAGCCTTAGTTCCGATCGATGCTCGATCGTTTCTTCAATACGAGCTGTATTAAATTTGCGTAAGTCTTGCTGCATGGATTTGGAGATCTGTCTTTTCAATTCATTCAGTCAGATTTGTTCAGTTGCTTGTATACTGTTATATCTGTTGAAGACTGCAGCTTCATTTCCCGTCTAACAGCCATGATATTTAGATATAGAGTGTGATCTGAGAGTTTTTGAGTTTTTCTGCGACGAGTCTTGCAGAACTTAGCTCCGACCGCATGGACAATTTCCACGAGCTTGTCACTTATATCGTCCACTACATTTCAATCTTTTAGGCATTGAAAACTGTTTTGTAATTCGAGCCGAAAGCTTTCGGGGCTTTGAATTCGAGTACGAGCGGGATGTAATGTTGACCTCTTTAACTTAGTATTAAGGATCAACGTGCTTCCTCAACCTCTTACCGTTCAGTGATCGCTACCAGTTTTCACTCATCACTGAATGGTTGCCATCTGGTCGTCATAATAAAGTCAATCTCATTTTTTGTCGAACCTTCGTGGATAGACCATGTCCACTTTCTGTGGGGCCGTTTGTGGAAGAAAAATTTCATCATAAAGAGTCCCTCTTTCTCCATGAAGTCGGTCAGCTGCTCCCCAATAAATGACAATTCGATGCGGCACAAATTCACGCCACTGCACCAGCCGCAACCACAGCCTCCCATTGCGATATCGTAATATCTATCGAAATAGCTATCAGGGTTACTCGGAACTCGACAACTTCCTGGCAGCGCGTGATAGGGGAGAGATAGGAAAAGAATTAGGACGTGATGTATCCGCAATCAAGGGGCTCGTATTGAGCAAAATGTAATTAATCTTTAAAAAACTTACTAAAAAAATTGTTTGACTTTAGAAATGACCCACATTAGTATAATTGACTGTATGTTATGAATAAATGTCTTCACCGGGATATTATTACCTTTTTGGATGGCTGATTAAATGGGCCTATTTTTCAAAATATATTTATGTCTCATGTCATAGTAATGTTTTGAAACACGTAACATTTTATGATATATAAAGTGTAAAAAAAGAAAAAAAAATTATCTAGCCCATAATTTTTTAATATGAATAGGTACTTTTTGTACTTATTATGATTGTATTCGCTTGGTGAAGCTCAAGAAAATAAATAAACTTAAAAGAAAGCATACAAAAAAAAAGGTTATATTTTTATTTAGAATTTAAAACGAAAATCTGGGTGATTCCTTTTCATTTTCGGCCATACATACGGGGGTCAAATTTGTAGCATTTTGACTCCCCTATCACGCCCTGCCAGGAAGTTGTCGAGTTTCCAGTAACCTATGTATTATAGTTGAAGTGCAAATGAGTCAGATCGACCAGGTAGGACTGCGCTCTCAAAGAATACCGGCGTAAAATAGCAGCTTAATTCTGCTGTCTTTCTTGTGGTGAGTGTAGAGAACCAGAGATCCTTTGTACAGAGAACGAGGCATTCCATCTTAGTTTAGGGGTAACAACACATCTGAGTTTTGATTCTTAGTTGAGGGTTAATGTAAATTTCTATAGGCCACAGTATCATCGGTTACATGAGGTGAACCGTGTTAGTTTGTCTCCCTTATTCTTTAAAAAAATAATCTCTCCCTGCTACTGCAGGCTTACATACGCTGTGTGCAGGCGTTTCGAGACGCTTGAACGAAGCTTCCTTTCTCTTGTTTCCTCGAGTAGTAGCGACTAGCTATACTTTATATAAAAGTTTTTGCTATTATTTTTATACAGGCGTTTTGAAACAAAGTTAGCTGAACGGAAGAGATCAAAAAGTTATTGTGTTTATGTATGTAGGTATGTAATTGCAATATGGCTAAAAAAGTCCCCAGTTTGTTTCCCGTTCTTCTCAGAGGCAGGGGTCAGAGTCAAAATTGAATAAAAAGTTTTGACTTTTGCTTTGATTTTAGTGCCTACAGCTCGAGATAGTACTCTGGTGTTTAAGAATTAAACTTTTAATAAAAATAAAAGGAATAATTATTACACTATCTTCTAAACTTTCTATTCTGCACACTACATCAAGGCAATTAGATTTATTTATTTCATTATTTTTGTTCTGTAAATTCAGCTTTTACCTACTTAATGTGCCTACTTATATAAAAAGTTAAATTTTATTCTAGACTGGCTGTTTCCTGGTACCATGGCTCTATCATATCTATACAAATAAATAAAATTGAAGTGTCTGTTTGTAATGTAAAAATTACAGTTTTTTACTAAATGTATATGAAAGTAAATAGAATAGAATAGAATGATTTTTATTCAATATGGATTATTACATAATACTTATTGAAAGTCATTATTTTATTTACCACTGGTTCGGAAAATACCTCTGTCCTGGAATGAACCAGCAAGAAACCCAGCGGGACTTTTTTTTTAAACATAATTTCACTTAACAATAATTTTGTTTATACAATTTTAAATGAATTTTCATAGAACCAGCATGGTGGCGATCACCTTATTCCCAGGGGTTATTTTCATTCATGTATTCCTTGATATTATAATAACCCTTTTTGTACAGTTTTTCTTTAATAAAACTTTTAAACTTGTTTATTGACAAACTTTGAACATGTTCTGGGATTCTGTTGTAAAAGGGTATACATTGCCCCATAAATGAATTACTAATTCTGTGGAGTCTTGTAAGTGGCATTACAAGCTTATGTTTGTTCCTAGTGTTTAAGGTATGAACATCCTTATTCTTATTAAAGCTATTTATGTTTTTATGTACATACATTACATTTTCATAAATATATTGCGATGCCAAAGTTAATATGTTTATTTCTTTAAATTTTTCTCTAAGGGACTCTTTACAATTTAGATTATAAATACGGCACTTATAACTAAAATACAATTTTTAAAAAATTTGTCTGTCTGTCCGTTTGTTCCGGGTAATCTCCGAAACGGCTGGACCGATTTTGACAGGACTTTCACTGGCAGATAGCTTATTTCATAAGGATCTGCTACTTAGGCTACTTTTATTTTAGAAAAATAATTATGGTTCCGCACAAAAACATAAAAACCCTAACACGCGAGCGAAGTCGCGGGGAACAGCTGGTATCAAATATTTGTTAAAAAAAGTAATCATTAGAGTAACCATTTTTATTGCTCAAAAACAATATATTATGCAAACAAAATATTTTTTTGTTTGCATAATATATTGTTTTATTATTCAAATTTAAGAATAATAAAATTGCAGTCGGGAAGGGACATCCTTTGCGAAAGTTTATCGACCGAATTGGCGATATATTGAAGGTTTATGGATGTGGAGGAGGCGAGAGAGGTGTGTCAGGATAGTCTTTTTTTAATAGGATAGGGTGACAAACGAGCACACAGTCCACCTGATGGTAAGTGGTTGCTGAGGCCCATAGACATCTACACCTATCCTCGTTTGTGAATCAAAATGCAAATGCGTTGTCACCCGTGAGGACTAAGATGGAATGCCTCTTTTCCAGTAAAAAGGGTCTCCGGTTCTCTACACTCACCATACGAAACACAGCAGTGTTAAGCTGCTATTATACACTGGTATTCTGCGAGAGCGTGGTCCTTCCCCGGTTCTAACCGACCCATTCGTGCTACAACTATACTAATATATAGCTGCAACATGGCTCTACCACGTAAATAACGGAAAGTCCCAAACGGAAGTCCATAGTCTCTACCTCTGGGTGACCGGCGTGAGTGTTTACGTTTTTTTTTGTATAAGTTACCTGATTTAGCATTTCTCTTAGTGTTATGTCCATGAGTGCACTTTATATTGGGTATGTGGCTGCTTTAAACACTCAACAGCCAGTAGTAAGACAAATTTAGAATTTAAGTGGAGGTTTTCCTTTATTGAATGACACAACATTCTAAACTTAATTTTAAAGAAAATATTTGCTGTAAAGTAAAATAAAGTTTACAACCAATGAAGAATGTTTTTATTTTTCTCTTACTTAGATACTCCAATAATTTCTGCCAAGCATCATATAAATATTGTAAACTATATTTCTAAAGAATCACTTAATTTCTTCACTTCTTCTGCTGTGCCTGTTCATCAATGGGGTCTAATTTAGGCTCTTCAAATTTAAATGTGGGGAATGATGTCATGTCTACTCCAGCACCTCCTCCAAACTGCCGCTCCAGTTTTTCTAGTTCCGCTTTTAGTTCCTTTTCTATCGCTGGAGTTGGGTCAACAAGTTTGCCACCACTGTGTGAAAATATAAAAGTATACATTATTTTTAAATTTTCTTGTATATAGAAGACATTGTTGAGTCACAATGTTTGTCCAAGAAACTGGTTCTGCTCAAACCATATCCTGGGTTTAGCAATGGACTTATGTAAGACTAATGATGATTATGATGATGATGATAAACAATAAATTCGACCTGCGGTAATCTAGCAGCCTTTCTAATAACTACTGTATTCTGACATGCCTAATATGTACATACTTATGTAAGAAAAATCTTCAGCAACGCATGATTGAACAGATCTCTTTTACTTTTCAGGACACAGAGACAAAGCTTTGCTCTAGCAACTTTGATAACATAAAAGAAAAGAAAATTGATGAACATTTGCTCACATCATTTGTTTATCCATTTTTTTTTGCTGAAATTAACACTCGATTCATAAATCTGTAGCAGCTTAATTTTTGTATTAATTTACATAACATGATTAATTTTTTATAACTATTATAGACATTCATTCCATAATAAACCATGTTATGGATGTATACATAGTACATATTGATTTTATCTCACCTTTTTTATTATTTTTCAGATCAGATTTCAAAAAGTTCTGTCATCACTGAGGCCAGCACAAGGTTCTGAGGATAGGGAGCAGGGACTCTATAGTCTGACAATGTTGTATTACAGCAGGTCAACGGTATATAATATAATAACTTTTGTTTCTTATTACAATTCTTATAATATTTACATCAAATTTTCTAGCTTTCCATTCTTAGTCTGGCCATTAAGCTTGTAGCTTATTTGGGACAATTTATTTACTGATCAGCTATGACAGTTGTTAAAAAATTCTGCTGCATGTTGGAAACTAAGATTTTTTTGGTTTTACTCAGAGGCAACTTTTAAAATACCAAGGAAACATACCTATTTGTCCAATTAATAATGTTCTGAGTATTCCAATGTTTCTGTCAGAACACATCTTGTATGTGCACACAAATGGATTATCTATTATTTTATTGTTTCGTTAGATACAATTTTTAGTTGATGAAATTTTTTTTTATCATAATTAATTCAAAACACATTTCCGTAATTCGAAAACAGTATAAAAGGTTCTAGCTTAACCCTGACATGCCTCCTAAACTGAAAATATAATTAAAATCAAATACCAAAAAGTATATAGCCAACCCAAATAAATTATCCATAAACCAATATAGAGTTAAAAATATTGATTAAATAACTAGGATTCAAACCTTTGGTATCTTTCAAAATTAGTAGTATCGCCAATTTACAAGATAGCAAAATAGTGGTTAACTATTTATTATATACAATTGAAATGAAAAGTATGAATACTGTTGATGATTAGAAAATATTGAAAGCAACTCACACACTCTTCTTCTTGTATTCCCTGATCTTGTCCACGAAAAGCTGCTGAATAGGGTCTGTAGCTTTTTGCGCTGCGGCTAGATTTCTTGTAACGATGACAGAGGACCGAGCAGCCCGAAGGCCAGTGACGAGTGAAGAAGTAAGCATCTGAAATAAATTAACATAACCTTCAATAATGAGTTATATAATTTCTAATGTTCTTCTGGTGGAATTATTCATATCTCCAATTATTTGGTAAAACAAGTGCTACTATTAATACATCTTTAAAATTATGCCGTTCCCAGTATTTGAGTTATTTTTCTTACCTTTTTCTTTATATTAAAGCTTCCAGCAAAACCTGAAAACCTGGATTAATTTTTTTTACTTTTGTCAAATGACAGTTGATTGACATTTGACCATAAAGAAAAGTAATACATCGGGATCATTTTTTTTGAGTTTATGGCCTGGTATCTAGACCTTTAGGCCAATCGGGAACATTTGACACATACTCAGGTCTGCCAGTGAACCGAACTTATTTTATACCGCTGGCTGCTGGGTTCCAGAAATTAATCTGTGCAGCGTCGGTCAATGAAGGCATCCACGACTTTTTCTGCCACCACGGTGGCGCCACTTAAAAGTGAGGTATAATATTTGACAGATTTCATACCGGGAAGTTAATTTGTTTGGAAAATGTAAAGGTTAATGTTTCTTTCTGTACTATTAGTTATATTCTATATTAATTAGAACAACAGATATTCACAAAATGAGAAAAATTAAAAAAAAGTTAAAAATGTGCAAAAAATTGAGAAGCAAACCACTGAGGCATTGTTTTGTGTATTAATATAGTACTCTAGAAACTGATAAACTTTTATTAAAAACTAAGTTCTCAATTAAATAAAAATGCGTAACAAAAACTTTACATCACTTTTAACTAGCGACATCTGGTGAGCAGAAAATTAGCCCTCATTGGTGAATTGGTCTTCAACAAGGAGGTTATAATATAATATAGGGAGTTTGGTATTTTTACCCTTCTAACATTGATAAGTGTTTACACAAGATAAAAACATTACCAACGTTTAGACAGTTATTGACTTAAAGTAATATTTTAGACGTATGCTAGAACGATAATCTTATATTTTTTATCGCTTATCATAGTTGGTATATTCCATATTGTATTTTAATTAAGCTTATTATTAAATAACACGAAAAAAAAATAACTAAAACCCTCTCAGAAATGAGAGGAGGCCTGTGCTCAGCAGTGGGACCTAAATAGGCTGCAACTTTACTTTTTTTACTTTTATGTTGGACTAACATTGATAGAGGAGCTGCAGAGAGCTATGTAAGAATATCTTGACATATTTTACGAGGAACTAGACCATCGCTACAGAGCAATGGATGATATTCTCGTAACATTTAGTGTTGTTCAGCCTTACACTCTGCTAACATCACCAGATGAAGATCTGAAGTTCGAAATCTGACAAAAATCTAGGATGATTTTTCTGCAGAATATATCATTTTGGCGATTTTACGACTTGAAAGCTGCCAGCATATCTTCTCAAGAAGTGGTTCAATTCATTGGTGCTTTTCTTGTAAAATTGGGCTATTCTGAATCTGTTTCGAACCGAGCGCTGTGTCTAAGATTTATTTACTATTAAGTTTCATGTGAAGGAAGCTTTTCAATACTCAAGTTAATAAAATCTTATTTAAGGTTCACAATGAGCCAAACGCGACTAACCAATATTTCCATTTTATCTATCCAAAAGGACAAGAAAGTAAATTTTGATAACATATTAGAGTATTTTAGCAAAATAAAGTCCCGTTAGCATGTATAGCATTTTTTGTTTTATTTTAGGGGTGCTTGATAGAAAACCGCCCTGGATGTCAACCCACGCTACGCCGCCACTAGTTACCGTACCGGTTTGATACTGTAGCGGAGCAATAATGTAATCAAAATATTATACAAAGTTTAATTATAACACTATTCAGCACTTTCCATATTGAAAAAAATACGCATTTCGTTTTCCACTATATACACGTTATGCTATATACACTAATAATATCCTCAAAATATTGTATCATGGACACTCTATTAGAAAGAAATGCAACGCCTAACTCGGTGCCTTTCATTCATTTCAACAAGGTCACTGATTTAGGAACGTTTCTCTAGTATGAAGTGCGCACTCCCTATACTCGTATTTTACAATCTCCTTGGTCTTCAATTCTTTGTAGACCCCGCCAAAGAGTAAAGTAATATTTAGAAGGAACCCCTTAGAACAATAGATAAGAGCAATAGCTTGCTACATATTTATTTATCTATGGATGGATAAGAGCGTTCAGAACTTAGAGTACAAATAAGCAAGGTATAGAGCGAGCGTATCGCTCGTTGTCCATTATGCCAAGCGTAACCAGATGTTTTATAGATACTGATACATAATTAGATTGGATAGTGATGCGCCAAGATTGATGTCTATGCATTATTGTTCTTAAGTTATTAATTTGATTATGAAAGTATTGGTAAATATTAGGTAAGCGATAATTATAAGGTATGTTTTAGCTCAATAAAGCATAGGTACGAATTTATGAAACGATGTTTAAAATCAAACACAAAAATATAATTAATTTACTCCCCCTTCAAAGTCATATTATATACAACATGTAACAAAAACCCTGTGGTTCCCATTAAGTGTGTTATCAGAATCAGTACTCAAACGTATAGAAATAACTTTATTTCAGAAACCTCGACATAAAAATAATCTAATTATATTTTAATTAAATAATAATTGTAAATTTTATGTGGATTGATTAACTCTGCCTGGAATTATCAAGCAAATAAAAGCAACTAAAGCGAAACAGCAAGCAGCGGTGGCCGGCGGCGGCGTACATCAAAGATGGAACGCGAACTTGTGCGCGTCATACCGGAACGATGATCATGGTTATTTAAAAATAACCCCAAGTCTAGTCACCTCTTACGAGACCCATGGGATGTTATGGATATTCATACACCGTAACTACACGGTAATTGATAACTTCTCAAAACATTTTATTTATCGACAATATCTTGCAATCGTCGTTTCTCTAGCGCTCACTTGACCTTCATACAAATTCTTCGATATTTTAATTGTTGATAATTTTTATTTTTGGATACTTACATAAAAAATATTGTCCTTGGCCTGACCTACTATACTGTTTGGCTTGACCGTAGGTGATATATATATGCAGGTTATCCCGGTAATGGTGGATAATCTGGTACGAACGTGTTTGGGCGGGGAAGAGGTGGCCTCGGTTCCCTAAAAAAAAACTCTATCCCGAACGGTTCGCGGTCTACGCCATGTTTTATAAAATTCCGAAAACTCGTACTTCTGCTCACATTTGTGGTCATCACGTCCGCAGTTTAATGCCTAGATCGGATTTTTGTCTTTTAATGTGTTCCCTAATAATGATTTTTCTAAATTACCCTTAAGTTTTCAACTACTGTTGGTAGTATTTTACAAGACGGCACTAAACATAAGTTTAAATTTTTTACTTTATTTATATGATAAGTTTGAGCACCTGTAATGAAAAAAAAAACGTATGGGATCTGTGTGGCCAACCATTTAAAAAGTTTGCCTATATCATAAGGATTCTAAAATATTAGCATACCATGTACTTAATGTCATGACTTACTGAGCTATAGCCGTTAATGTGCAAAAGTAGGCATTTCATTACAAAATTACAAAATTATTGGCAGATAGTTTTTTAAACATTGCATGTGTTTATTAGGTAAGTACATTTGTCGCCCTTGAAAATTTTACTTTACTACCTGCTCGCCTTGTTTGGACGAATTCTAAGCTGTGTGAGCGAGACAACAAAAAATCTAATGGGTTAATATCAGGTGAAGGTCTTGTAAAATACTACCCATAGAAGTTGAAAACTTTAAGAGTAATTTAGAAACATCATTATTAGGGAACACATTAAAAGAAAAAAATCCAATCTAGGCATTAAACTGCGGACGTGATGACCACAAATGTGAGCAGAAGTACGAATTTTCGGAATTTTATAAAACATGGCGTAGACCGCGAACCGTTGGGGATATAATTTTTTTTAGGGAACCGAGGCCACCTCTCCCCCGCCCAAACACGTACGTACCAGATTATCCACCATTACTGGGACAACCTGTATATATAGCTCTTAGAACTACGATTTCTCCGATTGACTTTTTCTGCGACCAGGGTGGCGTCACTTTACAGTGAGGTAAAATATTTGACAGATTTCATAGCGCGGACGATAGTTTCTTAGGAAAATGTAATCTTTAAGGTTTCTTTCTGTATTATTAGTTATATTTTATATTAATTACATTAGAAATGAATAATGCAAACTATAAATATAACTAAAAGACAATTTTTTTAAAGAGTTATAAAGTGCAAAAAATTTAAAATCAAACCACTGAAGCAATTTGTTGTGTATTAATATAATACTCTAGATAATGATAAACTATTGTAAAATGTGGAGGGTGGAAGGAAAAGGGGAAATTTCCCGCCAGGTGTTCTGCCCGGGGAGCGGCCAACGTTCCGAGTGGTAGTTTTGAGCTATTCTATATATACTGCTTAAACTTCGAACTTTGTTAGCGCGATTTAGGCTTCGATGTGTTTTGCTTGTGGCGCGACGACAGCGCCGCCACATTTAAAACTAATTTCTCAATTAACTGACACTGTGTAACAAAAAACTTTACTGTAAGCGATAAAACAGGATTAACAAACGGCGGTAAATCAAGTTTCTCCCCATGCAGTACTTTCATGCCTAGAGTAGAACTGCCTTAATATTATAATTATTATTCAATATGACATTTATTATAAGTATATAAGTATATATATACATTTATTAGCAGATTAGCAGCTTTACCTTTATGGATACTGCCTATCAAAAGAATATAAGGATAGGAAATATAGCCGTTGGTAAATCGTGAGTTTTGTCGCAATGGAATGGAATTATTCAGAACAATTCCACAGGGCATTCTTCGTGGTAAATGTAATAGAAAATGCAAACGGATGTAACATATCTTCACAGTACCGGTGAATTGAGCCGATCAGAAAGAACTCCGTCGCCGACGATTCCAGCCGCTCTGCACTGAATGCGATCAAGTGGAAAGAGCTGGCACTCGGGTGCCGCGGCCCGGAGATGAGAAGCCCAAATACTAAATTCGACCGTCAGTTAACACTAAGTATAATGTGTAACTACAACATAGATAATATAAGTTATAAGTTAAAAATTATATATTCCGTTGATCTGATACAGACCAAAGGAATACGTGTGGTGCACTAGAAAATAAATAAATAAACACCAAAGGGCTAATTATTATGCGTCTGTGCCAAAGTCAGGTTAAGGAAGTAGCTTAATCAGATTGAAGTTACCAAAAAACCT